ACGGTCTTTGTCTGTTTCAACGGCCAATTTTTCCAAGTGGTGCTCAGAAAGATACGGCCAAACATCTTTGTTCATGAGACCGAGAAGAGCTTGGATGAGTACACTGAGTACCTCCAACAGCAAGATCGCGAGCAAGAGGCGCGGCAAGGGGAACAGTACGTGCAGTTCTACATCGTGAAGAAGAAGGGCAGCAACCACCACCGGATCTTTATTAGAATGTCGCACGCTCAATTTGACGGACTATGCCTGCCCACCATCATGTCAGCCATCAAATTGGGATACGAGGGCAGTACTCTGCCCCCGGCTCCTTCCTTTGCAAATTACATGCGCATGCTGTCGGGAGCAATCACTCCAGACCACTATCAGCATTGGACAAACCTGCTGAAGGGATCGAAAATGACGCAGGTCATTCGAAGGACCGAGGAGAATACCTATCGCTATATTGGTGCTTTCACAGAGCAAAGAAAGACTCTGGAGATCCAGCCCTCGGTCCTGGAAAATGTCACCATTGCTACTGTCATGCAAGCAGCATGGGCGGTTACGCTGGCCAAGCTGTCCGCTCAGTCAGACGTCGTCTTTGGACTCACGATCAGCGGCAGAAATACTTCAATCCCAGGCATTGAAAACACTGTCGGCCCGTGTCTCAATGTTATTCCAATTCGAGTCACATTCAAAGAGGGCTGGACTGGAGTTGATCTGTTCCGCTACCTACAAGACCAGCAGATAGCCAATATGCCTTTCGAGGCCTTGGGTTTCAGAGAGATCATCAGACGCTGCACTGACTGGCCCAGTTCGACATATTTCGCCACCTCCGTCTTCCACCAGAATGTCGAATATGAGGGCCAGATGCAGCTAGACAACACTACATACAGAATGGGAGGCGCGGGTGTCGTCGACAACTTCACCGACATGACATTGTTCTCCAAGTCATCCAGCGACGGCAAACTGGGCGTCTCTCTGGGCTACTCAGAAAAGGGCCCTATCGGCCCTAAATTCGCTGCCAAGGTCCTGGACATGGTCTGCGACACCGTGCAAAGTCTGCTGGCCAACTCCCGTGTCGGGCTTCCCTCTCCATCCATGCTCCGCTCATTACCTTGTCAGTCCGTCCAGGACATCCCCGGAATGTCCGACGAGATGTTCCTGTCCACACATCTGAAGAACCGGAGCATCTCAGATATCCTCGTCCACTCGGACGTCCTGACGCAGGCCTGGCAGCAAGTCCTCCCTCGCAATAATGCCGACGAGCCTCAATCCTCCTTCCAGCTCGATTCGTCCTTCTTCGAGCTTGGAGGCGATGTTTTCGACATGGCGCAGGTCGTCTGGCTCCTCGAGCAGGAAGGTCTGCAGGTTCACATCGAGGATCTCCTCGAACACCCGACCTTCCTCGGGCAGATGGCCGTCTTGACGCTGCACAACTCACGGAAGAGCGATTCCATGGAAGAAATCGTGCCCGTCGAGGAAATTCCTTTGCCTGCAGCGAGGACTGGCACCTCAAGTTCGCTAGGCAAAGCCTTGACTCTGGCGAAGAAGGTCACAAGATGGAGCCCACTGTCCGCTCGAGGGTGATCACCCAGGACATTCCCATATAATCCTATTCACTCATTGTTATTTTCCTTTACCTTTTTTTTTTAGCGTGCATATCGTGTGATCGCACACATTTCCTTTGTCTTGGATACTTTACTCTCATACTTATATTGTTTTCGGTCATTCTGTGTATATTGGCGGTTCTAATCATTTGGGCTGCTGGATCATTTTTGCATATATGCATTGTTTAATAAATCTAGTATGTAATAATATTCTTTGATCATTCACATTCAAACTTTTCAGGTAGATGCAATGTGCACAGGGGACGAACTGACATAGTGGTATCTCGTAATATCATGTGCCAATTCCGGAACAGACAGAAGATAAATCAAATCGATGAAGGGTATAAGAAAGTCAATGTGACCCGGAAATATGCAGGAACCCGAAAAGTATTCAACAAGAATGGAAAAGAAACGTAAGGACGGAAATGCAGATCTACCGGCCATGAACATGACCGTAAACAGAAGCCTGAGACCACTTCCCGCGCGCCCTGATCCGCGGTCCATAGATGTAGAACAGGTACGGGATGGGGATGAGCGCGACAGCCATGAATCCCAGCGTGCTGGCCGCCCAATTGACGCCCATCTTGCGGAACATGATGCCCGCGAAGAGCGGGAAGCAGCCGGCGAACAGGCTGCGGAGGAAAGTATTTGCGGCGACGGCGCTGGCGGCGTACTGCTGGAAGGTATCGATGAGGTAGTTCAGGGCGGCCTGGAAGATGGTGAAGAAGCCGAAGCCCATTGAGACGGCGCCGGCGTTGGGGCCGATCCAGTGGATATCTTTCGCGCCGGTCCAGCCGAAGATGAACAGGCCGGCGGCGAAGAAGACGGATCCGACCATCATGGGCGGGAGACGGGCCTCGGGGACGGGGAAGTTGTTGTTGGCTTTGAAGCGCTTGATGTAGAACCTCTGATTGAAAAGATTGAGGGCTGCGCCGAAGAGAATGCCGATGAGGTAGGCGAGGAAGGGGAGGGCGCCGACGACGGGGTTCCAGCCGCGGACTTCCTGGAATTCGACGGGGAAGGACGCAAGACTCAGGTAGAGGATTCCGTAGACGAAGGATGCGTAGAGCGCGACGAGGAAGCAGATCGGAGTGGCTAGCAGTTGGAAGGGACGGACGAGGTATTTGTTGCCTAGTTCCTTCAGGGTAACGTCCCATTCTTCGTGCCGCGCGTGGAGAGCCCAGTTGCCGGTCTCGTATCGGAGCCGGCGGGCTTTATAGACGAGAAGGACGGGAGGGTAGCTCTCGTCGAGGAAGATCACGTCCAAGACGAGGAAGAACATCATCATGATACCGGTGATCTTTGGTACGTCTGTGTTAGCTGATGGTGTACCAAGATGGATGAGCTGCACTCACGTATTGCGTCCATCTCCAGCCAAGGTAGCTCTGGACGATAGCACCGCCGACGATTGGCCCAAGCACAGGACCACCGACGACGGCCATGGCATACCCGACAATAGCTGCACCCCGCTGCTCCGCGGACCAGATATCGCCCAAAACGCCGCCGGTGTTGGTGACGGGAGCCGAGCCGAAAAATCCGGTGAAGAAGCGGGTGATCATGATCGTCTGCAGATCTTTGGCGGTGGCAGTGCCGAACGAGAATATAGCGGCGATGAAGTAGGGTATAAGAACGGCAGATTTACGCCCGTATACTTCGGAGAGAGGTGCGAAGACAAGCGGACCAAGTCCTGAATAAGTCAATAAGCAAATTTGGCCGCCTCGTAAATGCCAGTGACCATCACATACCAAACCCAAATAGCAGCAATGTTGTTCCAAGTGTGCCAACTTCCTCTCCAACGCCGAATTGTCTGGAAATTTGAATCGTGCCGGTGGAATAACTGTCTGAGTGTCAACATGCTGATGCAGGGAACAGTTCGGCCAGCGGATTCAGTACATTGAACTTGCCCACGTCGCACCTATTATTCGTAAAGATCAGTCAGCCTGGTTGGTTTACATCTCTGAGAGCGGCCTGTGTATACCCATTGTTGTCAGACCGTATAGCACGGTGGTGACAGCCTTCTTCCTAAATCCCCAGTTCAGTGGCCTATAGGGGTCATCAGGCCCATCGAAATCCACAATGACATCTTCCGACGTTTTGCTATGCGACAAAGGGTGCGTGAAACGTGCAGTCTGTCCAGGCTCTCGACTCCGGATTCTCGATATCACTGAGTGTGCGCGGTGCTCGAGTACCGACAGCCCCGAGGCCGCAGTAGTCTGCTTTTCCAGCGCTGCGTTGTCGAGTTCACGGTGGCCGAAACCATTCTGTTCATTTCGAGATTCGGTATCGCTGTCCGTCGTACACGCGGAAGATGTGCGGGACAAATGATCGTTGTCGGTCATGACTTCATAGAAACAATATTCGATAGCGCTAGCAAGGTGACCAATTCTAAGAAACCAAAGAAGTACGCTTTAAGAACATAGACAAGCGAACGTCCTATTCCTAAAATTTCACTAAAATCAAATTCCTTCTGCGTTGAGCGGGAAAGTGTGTTTCCCTAGCAAAATTCGGCGCAAAAATGGGTTTGCCTTACAGGTGATAACAGAGTCACGACGTCACCCAAATTTGTAGGGATCATATCTCGGTTCTCCCACACCAAGCCAAACATAAGATGATCGAGCGACCAACTGAATCAATGGCACCAGACATGGGGATTGGAGCTTGTTATAGACCAGACTAATCAAAAGTCCCAAAGAATTGCCATCGTGACGAGCCGTCTTAACCGGACCTTGTCCGTCAAAACGTTAGACTGGTCGGACGTCCGATAAGTACCTGACTCACGGCCTTTGCTCGACTCGCGGAGTAAGTGGGGATTGACTTCTCATGGCTTTAACTTCTGGCAGAGTCCTCTGTCGAGTGGATGGAAGACGACATTAGCATGCAATCCACTAGACATCAAGGCTGCAACACGTCCGCGACTCTATACCCTATCTACAAAATGAGGTGATCCATCGTACACAAGCATCAATAACAAGCGGCATACCCGTCGGAATTTTTTCCGAGCCCACGTTGAGTGGATGCTTGAGGAATGGATCGCCACCATCGGCGTCCCATAAAGTGGGACTCGGCAATGGAAGCAATCCTGATGGCTTCGGGACGGGTAATTCGCCCATCGTGGAAGAGCCGCTAAGAAGTATGGAAGGTCTGTTCGTCTCAATGGGGAATCCAATTCCGGCAAATGGATGGGAGCGCAATGCTCTCATATTAGTCTGAGCAGTCGAAACAAGCAACGATTCTTAACTTCTTGGGAAATCGCAGATGAAGATCTCAGTCAATCGCCGAAACACGCATATGGAATATATCACGTGACTACACGTCCGAATAGAATTGTCTATCGTGCTATTCTGCCATGACAAGCTTGATAAACCTGATTCATTCCATCGTACAAGTCATATACATTGATCATGCACGTAATCCCTAAACATTCGGATGTGTGCTCTCCCACTTTTGCACTGCTTCCATGGCGGCTGTCACCTTGAGACCTATACGCGCATCAAGCTCGTAGCTCTCCCACTTTGCCGCCTTTTCCAAATACTCTTTGCACTTCCGTACTTTCTCTCGCTCGTACTGTAGCGCATCCTTCACATCGGCTGGCCCAGCGGATTCTTTGTCCGAGACTTGTTTCGCTCCGCCGTGGTTGGCGATGTACGTCGGGCGTTCCATCCAGAGATTCGCTGCCATTTCGAAGTGGGCAACTGGACAAATCCAATCGTCTTTCAGTTGGCCCTTGAACAATGTCCGGTCCTGGCTCAGGATATCCTCGAGCATTTCCTTTGCCTGGGCGTGTTTGCGCAGCGAGCGGTGAACAGCCGCTCGAAGCAACTTCAAGATCGCTTTCTCCTCTGGGCCCTCTCGTGACCAGGTCTTATTGGCGCTGGATTCACTCCAGGCCAGTTTCTGCAACGACTCTTGCAGCTGCTCGTCCGTCATACGGCTGTGGCCGTTCCAAAAGAAGATCATTTCCTCAACCGGGTCAATGCCAACCGCATCGACCAGAGTTACCTTCCACTCCTTGGCACGTGCCTCCCATTTAGCAAACTTGCGAGCCACAAACACATCGAATGGCAGTTGTCGTGCCATGAAACGCTTCTTTCCAGCTACTGTGGGGGCCATTCGGAAATATTTCTCGGCCAATTCGGCATGCTCTGCGGCTTTCGCAGAGTCTGTCTCCTTCACGTCCCGGTATAACGAGAGATGACAGGACCCAGCAATATAATAATACAGTGAGCGGGACCAAGAGTTCAGGTCCACACACTAAGTCGATGCGTTAGTGGGCTCGTCTGCGATTTCTCCATGTGAACAGCTCTTACCTCAAGGAAGGAATCTGCACACAGCTCATACTTGTGCAGATACATGGCGTTCAAGCTCCGCTCGAAAACCCTCAATGCCTCAACCTGTTTCAGGGGACTGCTTTCCCCCCCACACAGCAGCTCCAGAGCCCTGTCAAGATTTTTATTGGCTCCACTCATCCTGGACTCCTCGAGTAGCCAAAGTTGACTCTTGGGAAACCGCTCTCTCATCTTCGCAAGCAACAATTCCAGCCGCTTCTGAGGATAACCCTGCACATCCCCGTCTTTGCCTGGGATAGAATCGGGCATGATATCGCAATAACGGACGAACCCGTTGTAGTAGCCGAGAATGGCAAAAGCTGAAATACCACCGATGAGGTTGTGGAACTTACTGGCCTGCCACAACATTTTCAATCCTCTTTCCTTATCGCCGTGGAACCCAATAATACTGAGCAGCTTGCTAAAGGAGGGTGGCACCATTGAGATCAGCAAAAGCAGGACTCCAAAACAGAAATTGGAACCAGAGTGCACAAAGACATCAATCTGATTCTGGAAGATGTCGGAGTCAGGGTCATGGTCGAGGATATCAGTGTTGATGGGGGTTGAAGTTTGACCGGAGTCTTCCGCAACGGGAGCTTCGCCTGAGATACTCAAATCGGCCAGCCTTTCATTTACATCAGTATCTCTGGTAGGTGCGGCAAGTGTATCCGCGGCCGCTTCTTTGACTTTGGCCGAGGAGATTGACGAGCTCGAGGACTGAAGGTTGCTAGAGCTGTGACGCTCGGAAGACGGAACGGACCCAGACGTTGTGGATTCTACCGGCGTCGCAGTCCGGGATTCCTCCATGTATTTCTGTTCCATCTTCAAAATCGCATCGAGGGTGATGTAGGCTTTCCTGAGTCGATAGAATGCCTTTATACTCTCTGTGAGACTTTCATTCAGCACCCCGACTATGGCACTCATGAGCTGCGCTATTGCCTGGCACAACGCAAACTCGGTTCCTGGTGAATACATCGGCGAGTGGTAGGTATTCGGCGCATGAGAGTTGTGCTGTGCCCTGTGCTGGTCGACGGAGGCACTAGTCTCAGCTTCGTTCAGGCGCTCCGATGCTACAAGAACGTCAGTGATCGACAAACCCCTTGCTGCAATTGACTGCAAGCCAGAACAGAAGGCAAACTCTAAGCCCACCTTGGCGCATGATATCCTGTTCAAACCCCAAAGTCGCCCGAATGAATGCGACCACTCCTCTCCCAAGCTGCACGCAAGAACGAGATTTGGTCAGCGCAAAGATGATGTCATATCTCGCAAGGGGTCAAACATACATTATGGAAGGTGGAGGTTCCTTCTGCCAGACCAGCTTCAGCGCCATCGACATCGTCATTGAGAATCAGAGTGGCAGCTGCATCATCGAGCAAAAGAATCAGCTTTGTTCATATAAGTCGCATAGTCCAAGCGCATGACTTGAGTGCGCGAGTGTTGGTGGATAGGCCACCTGAGACATACCCCTCATAGCATCCTCAACTAATCGGCACCGAATGAAATGGTCAGTCAAAGCGGCATAACGTAGGTCAAAAAGAGCACTCACGGTCCCGCAACTCGACTAAAGAGTCGAGAGACTGTGTCGAGGCATTGGCAGCCGGCTTCTTGCCATAGAGCCATGATCCGACTCGGAACATATTGCGAGAAGTCCTTGGTAGGAACTGGCGCAATGGAGAACGAGATAAATAATAATATTAAGTATATATACGTCAAAAGATACCGAATCGAAAATCTCAAATCACACCGAGAAACGGAGGTGTCCGGACCCGAATGAAAGATGTGACGAAATGGGAGCAATGTCAAGTCTCCCATCAGATACCGACTGAGGGCATGGCTCCAGAGAGGAGCTGAATGTTACGTATGAATACTTCAAAGGAAAGAAGAATAAGCAAGAGAAAAGTAGGAAATAAACAAAGGTCTGGAGTTGTGCTGATGATAAATAATAATGTTAAATAATAAGATCATCGACGGCTTTATCGGTTTGGTCCATGGCCCGGGGCGGAGCATTCTGCCCGAGCTGGCTATCCACGATCCATACAGCTGGGAGGGCGTCCATTCCAGCCAGTCAATATCCAAGTATCCGTCTGATAGGTATTCCATCATCAACAGTTTAACGGATCATTCGCTATCTCCTACTATATATGTGAGATCTCATGTCTATCATCGACAACGCACCATTCTAGCTAGCAAGCTCATTGATGCATTTGAGGCTCTCGTTCATCTTCCGTTAAGCCCGAGAGCCTCAGCCTCATGAACTAAGCCTCAAACCTTTCTGTATGGTCACAATGATCATTTTGTGGTCAGTGAGATAAAAACACAGAACACAGTAATCATTAGACTGGAGGTAGCCTTGTTAAAATTAAGTTGTGTCCGTGTTCTGTAGGCTACAGCGTAGAGGGGTGATAGACACAACCTTGTTAGTTAGGGTCTCCTCCACGTTGCTCACAGCGTTTTGGCCTGAGGCCAACGCAGATCACCGCCGCCTTTGACCGACCTCGTCCAGATACCTCATCTAGGTGAACAGACTAACTATCTCTCAACCATATTGACCTACCTCATTGAGCACCTTCTTGGCCTGTCTAGTATTTATAAAATTTCCTTTTCACATCAGGGAAACACATCGACCCAATTTCTCACTCCTAACCGGTTTCATTTCTCTCTCACACAACGCCGCCATGTCGAACACAACACAGACACAGGATAAGCCCGAAACCTCCGAACAGCCCACACAGCAGAAGCCCACCGTACTAGAGGAAGACGATGAATTCGAAGATTTCCCGGTCGAAGGTGAGCGCCTGTCCTGCCCGCTCAAGTGAAGGCGGGGTACTCTCACACTGCAACGACGAGCTACTGCTGACAGATGAGCATTAGACTGGCCTCAAGAGGAAACCGAACAAGCAAACGGAAATAACGTCCATCTGTGGGAGGAGAGCTGGGACGATGATGATGCGGCAGAGGATTTCTCAAAGCAGTTGAAGTACGTTTGCTCACGGCGCTGTCAAAGCTTGCTTTCCCTCGTTGCTGGGAGGATGGGCGTTGGTTTCTACCATGCAACATCACGTCATGCTCCATCTGTTACGTTTAAGCCACCGTTACTGACGATGCGGTTCGCACTATAGAGAGGAACTCAAAAAGGTCGAAGCATCCCATTAGTGTCCATTAGCGCGTCACGGATTTGCGAGAGTGATACCGGTTGCACCGACATGATCCTGCGGCGGACCTTACTGAACGTAAGGCTGCATGCGGTACGGACGAGAATTGACTGATGGAAGCTTCGCATACTGGTCAGGCTCAAATGACTATTCCTGCCTCGAAAGCTGTCAACTACGCGGTTAGGGTATATCGGCTTGAGGGTTATATGGTGCAACGTCTGCACGACAAGGCCGCAGTGAATGGGCGACCGGTGTATCGATGCTCTACATGTCTCCTATTTATTTACAATTAATGAATGAGATGGAACTGTCGTCCAACTGTCATGACGCGTGTGATCTACACGTGCTGCTACCATGGCCATCAATCACAACTTGGCGCTCGTATCTATCAGACCACTATATCAGAAACTTTCTTGATTCGAATACTCTTTCATTTCTGATTAACTCGTGGCTTTATACATTATATTCATAGAGTGCTCGCCTCCCGCTTCTGAAGATCTTCATGAAGGCAGAAGTTCGCTTTTGATTCAAGACATTATTCTTTCGTTTACTTACTTGACAGGGCAGCAACACCGGGCAGCTCCTTGCCCTCCAGAAGCTCCAGCGAGGCACCACCACCGGTGGAGACGTGGCTGAGCTTCTCCTCAGCACCGTACTTGGCCGCAACAGTAGCGGTGTCACCACCACCAATGATGACGATGGCGCCGTTCTTGGCGGCTTCAACAGCAGCATCCAGAGTCTGCTTGGTACCGTTGGCGAAGGGGTCCATCTCGAAGACACCAGGAGGACCGTTCCAGAGGATGGTCTTGGCCTCAGCAATGGTCTTCTTATACAGCTCGACACTCTTGTCGCCAACATCCAGGCCCATGTAGCCGTCGGGAATGCCTTCCTCGTCGGTGGCATAGCCGGTCTTGGCGTCGGTGGCGAACTTATCCGCCGTGATGTAGTCGACAGGCAGCACAATCTTGACGTTGTTCTTCTTGGCCTTCTCGATGATATCGCCGACGGTCTTGCTGCCGGCCTCGTCGAACAGACTGTTGCCGATCTTGACGTTCTCCAGGGTCTTCTTGAAGGTGAAGGCCATGCCACCGGTGATGATCAGGCTGTTGACCTTGGGCAGCAGGTTGTCGATCAGCTGGATCTTGTCGGAGACCTTGGAACCACCAAGAATGGCCAGGAACGGGCGCGAGGGGCTCTCAAGAGCCTTGGCGAAGTATTCGAGCTCCTTCTTCACGAGGAAGCCGGAGGCCTTCTGGGGCAGGTCAACACCGACCATCGAGCTGTGGGCACGGTGGGCAGTTCCGAACGCATCGTCTGGAACCAATTGTTAGCTTCTAATTCATTCAGACCAAGCAAGAAATCCCATGCTTACTGATGTAGATGTCACCCAGGGCAGTCAGGCCCTTGCGGAACTCGGCGACCTTCTCCTTGTCGGCCTTGACCTTCTTGCCCTCCTCGTCCTTGTAGCTACCTTCCTCCTCGGGGTGGAAACGCAGGTTCTCAAGCAGAATGACCTGACCGCCCGAGGCCTTGTTGACGGTCTCCTCCACCTCCTTGCCAACGCAGTCCTCAGTGAAAATGACGCTCTTGCCGAGCAGCTTCTCCAGCTCAGGAACAACAGGCTTCAGGCTGTACTTGGCGTTCTTCTTGCCATCCGGACGGCCAAGGTGGGACATGAGGACGACGGCCTTGGCGCCCTGCTCGATGGCATACTTGATGGTGGGCAGAGCACCGACGATACGTTGGGGATTGGTGACCTCCTTCTTCTCATTGAGAGGGACGTTGAAGTCGACCTGCCAGGCACGGGGGACATGTTAGCCAATGCGCACTTAATGCATGGTTCTCTCGCGGAAGTCAATCGTCGATTAGCTCATGGAATGCAGTTTCAGCACAACGTACCCGGATCAGGACACGCTTGTCCTTGAGGTCGACGTCTGTGATAGCAAGCTTGTTGGTGAGAGACATTGTGTATGGTGTTTCTATCAGATTGTGGGCCGGGTCAGCTAATGGGGCCTGGAGAACGAGGAGAACGAGGAGCACGACGAGTATACCTTTGGTTGTCACAAACAGACAAAGTAGAGACTGAAAACTCCTGTCCTAATATGCTCACGGTGAGCCTTCTTCGATCAACTTCGGTCCGACGGCGGGGTAGTTGGCATTGTTTGTTAAGCTCGACTGTGGTGGGGCTTCCGGTGAGAGATTCGCTCACCTTCGGGCTGATGCGGGACTGATGTCAGTATCCAGGATCGATGACGGAAGGCTCCGGGCCTGGTAGAACATCGTGCCTGAGAATTCTCGATAGCCTCGGGTGCAAATAGGCCTGACCTGCATATTTCCCGTAGTGATTCGCTGGTGGGTCTATAAATAAACACTCAATACTCTGTTGGAGATGAGGGGAATTATTGGAGAGTTGCATGAGGTAGGACCTTGGTCTACAGAACATCCGTCCGAGTCGTGCAGTTTAAGGAGACATGGAAGGATTGGCCATTTTGGATAGTTCATATGATTTGCTCTTTGGATCATGATCATTTATGAGAACGAGAATTGACCTTTTGAGTTTCCGAAAGATTGACCTGTACACCATTGTCCATAAAAGCAAGAAAGTAAAAGTCCCCCACGCATTTACAACGCCAGGTAACCACAGAAAAAGAGAAGAGCAATGAGGGATATATGGTCGAAGAAAGCAAAAACAGACCAATACCGCCGCTGTGTTTCGTCTATTCTTCCTCAGCCGAGTTGGTCAACGACAGGTATGCGGTCCAAGCGATACCGACGGTAGATACAAATGGCTGTGACACGTAACGGTTAGCACCATACATATCGACATGGAGATCCCATCACTTACAATCTGGAATTGAATTGGCACTACTCGGAAGTTGAGGATCTGCACAGCAGGCCACAAGACGTAGTTTGCCTTCAGGGTCGGTACGTAGACGTCCTGGAACTTGCGAGTCAACGCTCTTTTGCCTCCACCCTCCGCGACAGTCATGAACGTGAAGAAGCACGCAAGACCTTTATCAAATCCATCAGCTAAGCTCTTTTCTCGAAAGCTAAGGGATGTCCATACCAAAAGGAGCGAACATGAGCTGATCAACAGCAACACGCTTCAAAGCCGGCAGCGTCGGGCTCTTTTTGGTCAGTGGAAATGCTCGGGACAAGAAGCCGAACCACTTGAATTGTATAGGCGCCATGAAGAAACCGTAAGACATGAATCGGGTGAGACGTTCGAAATCAAACGGAGGAGGAATGTGCTTCGCATGTCCCAGCTCTCCCACTGGTGGCGGTCGTTCCTTGTCCATCTCGTGGATCTCGATCGAGATGAGATCACCGTCTTGCCTAGTTCGTACTGTCGAACGGGCCTTAAAGGCTGTGATCAACTGGGCCACCGTATCTGCGATACCACCAAGCACCTAGATCAAACTCTTCGTTAGTCGTGAACTACGAAAACGAAAGCAGGCAAATCCAGAGGCTTTCGACAGGTTCGT